AAGTAAACTGTTCCACAGTTTCATATAAATGACTAGACTTTTCATGAAATGTCCAATTTCATTAAACGGCTGCGACATATGAACACGTTTCACTTGCAATGAACAGCAAACCCCTGTGTCTAACTTAAATCTTAAAAAGTCAAGTGAGTAACAAAAAACATTTGTAATTGATTGTTATTTTAAACCAAAATCAACCCTCTCAGACACTCAACGCCGATTAGTTAATTTTAAGTTACTAACAACAACTAAATAGTGAGCGGAAGTATTATAATGCGAAGGCTTGCAATATATGAAAGAAGTAACGTTTCTATGAAAAGTAGAATGTCTGAATGTCATACCTCGTGGTCAAAATCAGATTTCTGCAAAAGTCAAAGAGAATGTTTTTGACAAATTGGAGTAAAACAATTATTTTTCAATTTGATTAGTGACACGCGAATCCAAAAAAGAATATTATTAGGAGTTTATTTTCCCAGCAATTATTTTTTACCTTGGCATGCTTTGAATAGTGTTACGAGTTGTTTGAGGCGAACGCGTTGTAAAAACCGTGCACGGTATGAACTCTATATAATGGTTCTGATCATTAGTGGTGTCCCGCAACGTAGACGTCGTGATTGAATGATAGATGACCCAACATCTCCTTTTAGCTACCCCCCATTCTCTTACTGCTTTTCAGTGCAGAAAACATACTATGAACTAAGCGAACTCCTTAATGCATTACTCATTGGTTATTGTTACGAAAATATTAAATAATGCTACACGATCAACTGGCTCCCATACTTTACAATGTACAACCTGTCTTTATACGTAGCGCCTCGACGTCTCCGTTAGAAGAGTTCATTATAATTTCAAATGTAATTTTTCCTTATACGTATGCTTGCACTTCACTCCCGACTTCTGCTTGAATGATGTTTCATAAGCGCATCCTTCGTTAACGAGTAGCTAACAAAAATAAACAAGTTTGGAAATGATTCAGAAAACATGAATTATTTAATTCCACCTGGGTCGTTTGTAAAATTGTCTTCAACGTAATTCGGAAGGTGCATTCAAGGAAATCATTCAGTTTGGAAGAAAATGAAGCGGTTTTAAACTGTATTAGAAATTACACACTTCTGGTCAGCACTTCGTAGTAGTTTGTGCAGTCTAGATATAGAATAATCCGGATAGCGTCTTTTGAATGACCTACATCCTTGGCAGAGCTTTCTGTAATTTCTACGTTTACGACGCAAATCGTTTAGTTGAATGGACAGAACAAAGATCAAGAAAATTTTACGCATAGAGTTCCATTCATCGGGTGACGACCCGTGTATATGTATACGTTCAAGAATTAATTATAAAGGAAATCTTGTTTGTATACGGAACAAGAAGTTACAGTTATTCTCATAACACACTCTAAACTTTTGAAAAAAAAAATCTAAAACATCCTTGCAGGATGGATAAAACTAAGGAAGTTTAGTTACTTTCCCCTGTTAAATGTGTTTTCTTTGAGATTATCCAATTTTACAGTATCAAACTTTATACAATTTCTATATGAAATTGAGGGATAAAGTGTGGAAAACTTTTATTTAATGGCCTATTTGGAGAAATGCAATGCCTACTACCTGCAAAGAGCAGAAATTGTGTGCAACATCCCTTAGATTGTTTAGTAATTTAAAGTGGAACTTTTTCTTATGGTTTTAAATTATGTTTTCAGAGTTTCACTTAGATTTCCTCTTGATTATATTGATAGCATTGTAATGACTTCTTCTATAGGCCGATTTGTCAAAGTAACATTAGTAATTAGCGCTTTGTATTGCACCTTTTGAGTTGCGGTTCCAATTCTCATTTTTTCAACAAATTTGTGATAAAAAATGCAGATATGTACTCCGGTTAGCTGTACGTAGTGATTACGGGCAAAATATGTAAAAGGAGCTTTCTAATAAGGTTAAATTTTTTAGCTTATAGAGATAGGTAAAGTTGGAATTTTTCAATGATTAAAGGTGGTCGCTTTAGTTAATAAATCGCCATTTTGCGGTTGCAACAGTTTATTTCTACCATCACGTAAACTTTAGCTTTTGAAATTCGCTGACATTAAAACTGTGATTTTCATTATGATAGCTGGCGCCAGTTTCCGCGAAGCCTTTTCCTAGCTTTCAATTTCCTCTTCCATATTCATTTTAGTACTGTAAGTACGCTGTAGTTCAACACTGTACTAAGTGTAAGGTAAATACCATGTGGTTGTAATTGCCATTTTCTAGATATAATTGTTCTGGCGATTGAACTTATTTCGTGGATCCCGAGCTATTTGGACGGGTCTGCTACCTTTCCGAAAGCGGAGGTACATTCCAGTGTTTCCCTTCCGTGGCCTACCTGTGTTGTTTATAAAGTCGCTCTGATCGGCCCCAGAGCGTGAAATGGGTCTATCCCAATGTCTAATTGTGACTTATGTTTAAACTGTGGGCCAAAATGGGCAAGATCCCAAAAAGGCCTTGTTAAAAAAAAAAAAATAATAAAAAAAAAACCTTTACGTGAGTACGGCCATTCTATCTTCCACCTGCTGATGCATTCATTTTAGGTTCTGCTGTAGAAGCTGAACATGCCATTTACCATCTACCCTTCATTCCTGTAATTTCGATGTTCTGTGAATAGCCCTCTTATTTTAAAAGGTAGATCTAAATACTGCAAGACGCGTCGAGGTATAGATCTTCCGACAAGCCCGAGGCCGAGTTGCGATCCGTTGAAGAAGCCCTCTTCCATTATTCGAAACTGAGGTACTGTTCCGCTGCTGCTGACCGTTTTATAGAAGAAGTTTTTTTTTTATTTGGAGAACGGATTTAAGACCAAGTTTTTGTGCGTCACATTCATTAAAGTGCATTGTTTTCTGGTTGTAATTAGTGTTGTGTCCGGATCGTAATGGGATATTATAACTCAAAAAACTCTAAGTAAGGTTAAGGCTTTTTGATGTTTGTTTATTCGGACGCTGTGATTCAAATTTGTTAATTAGGATTTCATGTTAAAGTTCATTTGCGGTCGTAGAATAAATTTTGTTATTGTAATATCATGCCAGTCGTGTACTTATTCGAACCCTTTAACCACAAAGAGAGAAGTCTCATGTTCAATTACGTTTGATTTTGTTTATTCACGCCCAAAATTCATTTCAAATGCTTTCAAAATTTGGTAAATGACTGTTTTGGAATTTGCACTTGACTAATGTTTGATTGGAATAAGGAATTTAAAGTCAGAATGCCCCTTACTGACGTACGAATGGTTAAAAGCGATAATGAAGTCGACAGTTAATTAATTTTGCAAGAATTTTCTTTAGAATTAACTACCTAAATTGGCAGGTTGAAGCCAAATGCTAGTCGCGGGGTTTTTATCGCATTTTTGCTTACTTGTTTGTAAAAAGGTAGCTTTTATTCATACTTTGGATAACGCGTCTGCTATTTACAACTTTAGAGACTGTGCTACATGATGTCGACATCTGGGCGCCATTCCCGAACGTGGTTAAGTAACGTGTCAATTTTTCAGTTTTTTCCTATCTTCTTCTATAGTTTTGGTCCGTTGAAACTGGTGTCGTCGGAAAGATCTTCTAAACGCGCACAACTCCTGCGTGACGGATTTTTTAAAAGGGCGAAATTATAATAAATAGATTATTTTTAAATGTACATGGTGTCCGATTTTTACGGTGTAAACGAATAACTTTCTTTTACAAATAGAGCACCATGTATATTTTTGGTTGTCTCGATGTCATTTGTTAACCTTTACATTGAAACCTATTCACTTTTTGATTTGATAATTTACTTCGAATATCATAGTATCTCAAGGTAACACCTTTTCAGATACAATCAATTAAATGACCTGCAGTTGTATTTATAATAATTACTGGCACCTAGTTCTTTATAATTCACGAAACTTCCATAAATGCAGCCAATCGGAGCGTGGGTCAGGGCCAGACAGTAAATTAAAGTTCGGGTTGACGCAATTGTAGATTGTATAATAATAATAATAATAATAATATATTTTATTTCCCATCTAACAGCAGAGCCTAATTACAGATGAGAAAGTATATATTATATTATTACTAATTAAAATTAAGCCGCGCGAAACTATGCATTCGACTGTAATTGTAATTGAAGTAGGACCAAAATAGTGTCTTAAATTTGGTTCTGTAATGGTGGGTTTCTACAATTAATTCACTCAGCTGAGGATGGTTTCGTTGGTTAGCAACGCGCAACAGATCTTTGTTTCTATTGGCTATTTCCTAATGATTTTTGATAGTGAACTAATGATCATGATTGTGTAAACTCATCATAACAACCAGATCTACTACTTTACTGCAACTGTGGTGCAGTAATAGAGCCTTCAACTTTGGTTCTGCAAACCACAGGCCGTTTCAACCCCTCATATCGAGTTTCCGTGGGCAATCGGTCCCGAGTACTACCATTTATGGGTTCGCTCATAATAGATCGAAATTGAAGGGATCAGTTAAGGAAAAGAGGGCGTGTACTATTTTTTGTTTTCGGAAAAATGCAAAATACCAAAAAAGTCCTACATTACTTCAAACTCAGGAATCAACTGAACAAAGTTCAAATTCTATGTCTAAGATGTTTAAGAAAGTTTTTCTGTATTATGTGATCGAAATTTTGTCAAAATCCACGGAACATTAAATTCATCTCAGTAGCACTGAAAAGGAACACACACATGATCGTCTTTCTAACACGGTTTATAGAGACGAAGACATGTGGATTGCTCTTTCAGATTCAATACAATATTGGCGACGCGACAAAAAGTGGAAAAAGCATATAAAGGATAAGTAGAAGGACAGCTGATTCCAAAATGTTTAAGGTAAGTAGTATCATTGAATAAAAGCATTATTTTATTCAATGGTAGTACACATGAAAAGATAAACGAATACAACAAAGCTATTTCCTTTGTATTCAATAGCGCAGGTAAATAGAATTTGTATCTTCCATTCATAGATGCACGTAATTAAAATGCAAATTAGCGAAAACTTAATTTCCTACCTTGTGTTTATCCAAATGTATTTGTCTCAAAAAGGGGTCAAAAAGTAATTTGTCAGGTTCTACGTTGATTGGCGACTGCCTTCGTCCTTTTGAACACATATTCCATTGCGGGTTCATTAGTCCCCAATAGCCCGGACCTGCAATATAAATTAAATCACTTAGTACGCAATGAAAGACGTATACTTGTTATCTCAAATATGTAAATTGACACGTCAGCGTTAAATTAAACGAAACACTTCGTTTTTGCGACCTACGTTATCGCTTATTGATTGAAAAAGTCCATTTCCGTCAAAGGCTACGTTTTCTTTGAACTTTGATTCTAGTATAGAACTCGTTACGATGACGCTAGGTTTGATATACAGTAACTTATCTTAGTAGTATACTTTCAGACTCTCCGAGAACTCGAGGGACTTCCGCTCTTTACTACTTTGAAAGCGTAGAAGATAAATAAATGACACAAAACATCTGATTTTACTTTTTGCGGTTTCGTCTCGAACTACTATATCCCTTTATCGAGTGTAGGTAAATAGAGTCCACACATACCACCGCCTTTCGATCACGACTTGGCAACTTTGAGTAATTAATATTCATTTTGTGTGTTTCCGAAAGTTGTTCGGGGTGTGAAAGTTATATGTGTATAAACGTGATAGATGACAGACCAGAAAGAGATTGCGGAATAATAATATAACAGAGGTGTTGGTTCGTGTTGAAACGGAATTTCAACCTTTTGTGAAGGAGTAATGTACCGAATATTTAGAGCTTACTAAATTCCCTTTCGAATAGGGAAGGTTAATACAGTTGTAATACGTAACCTGATTTCTCAAATGTATAACAAGAATGTCTTCCACAATCGGTATTTGATGAGACAATTCCATTTTCGACATATTTGTGCGATATTAGGCACAATACTATTAACATTACTGGTGTTAGTTTACACGTCGTGTACCAACGCGTTTTAGAAGCTAGGCCTAGGGATTCACATCTTAAGTCATAACTGAGAACGTAAATGCTTTGCGCGAAGGTATCAGCGAGTGCTTATGTTAATTTCAGAGGCAACGTTAGTGTTGAAGAAAATAACAGTTTTCACGTCAGTTTGAGAAACCCCAATCTCTAAAAATTAAAAACCACGTACCGTTGTCGTCTTTCTCATCATCATTCAAATTTATTATACCAACGTGTCTGTGGAGACATCTACTTAATTTTATTAAAAGAGTAAGTACGCTATGCTTTTTATCATGTTCGAACGATAATTCCAAACGCTTGACAATGTTGACTTGCACAGTTCTAAAACGTTTTAAATTTAAATGAAATGATTTCTTTGAAACCTTATTTTGGATATAGGTACATTGATCTAATTTGATACACGTCACAGTAAGTTACGGAACCCATGCTCGGAAACGGGGCCATTATATGTCCTCAATCGGGATGGAGATAAGACCCTCGGTCACTAGAGAATATCCACTGCTGTGGTATCTGGTGCTAGAAAAATCACCTTAAAAGAATTTAGGTTCACAGGGCCATAAAAACTACAGATGCTTCTGTTAAAGTGGACTTAAGTTCCTATAATGCTCAAGATGTTCAAGGGACTCAAAAGAATCTAAACTGAACGTCTTGAGAAGCTTTAAATTCCAATATAAAGTTTCCGGAGAGAAGCGCATGGAATTGTGGGAAACGATGCTACGTTTTATTTATTTCCTCACGACTCATAAGACATATGATAAAGAAGCTTCGGTCACATTTTTTTTACACTACGTAAACCATCAAAAGTAGACCACTACTGTTATATACTGATTAATTTGCACCTACCTCTTGTCGCGTACATCCACGTGACTTCTGTCGTCGTGACTGTCTTTCCGGTTCCGGTGTACGAGACCCGTGCAACGTTGTCACGTTTACCTTATATTACATCCCCCCTTTTTATGTCTTAAAGTTCAAAGTCTTTAGAATAGTTTATCAGGCAAGTTCGGTTTCACTTAAACAACTGATTTAGAATTGTCAACTTAATACTATAGTCTTGTCTTTATAACTACGGGTTTATGGCACTAATGACTACAAGCAAGGTTTCCACACTCACAACGAGACCTCGGTGGCCTTACCACGCGACCCGATCTGGTTGTGTAAAACTGTTGCTCTGCTGGAATAACACCTCGAGTTACACCATTGTCTTCGTTTGACTGGACATAATCATTTCCTACCAGTGGACGCTGTTCAGTCTCTTCCGTCAGACTTCTCTCTTCCGCTCTTCCTCCCCGTTTTAGATCTTCCTGCGTTGACGTCCGGTCTTCCAATTCTTCCGGCCATTCAAACAATTCGTAAGGGTAGCGGTTTAATGTATCATTTGCTGTATCATTTGCCTTTATTAGGTGAGATCTATTTCGTCGATAGTGCTTGTTATCAGTTATTACAACGTATGATCTTGGTTCAGGTCCTTCATTGACCACCACACCGTATTTCTTTAAGTTTGTAATCCAAACTCTATCGTTAACATTTAAATTTTGAACTACTTTGGTTCTGTGGTGTTTGTTAAAATTATCAGTGTATACCTGAATCTCAATTTTTCTACGCCTAATATAATCCGGTAAATAGTCCCATTTAGGAATTAGATTCATTTTATTTGTTGGTAAGGTAGTACGGGGTGTTCTGCCCATTATTAGCTCTGAAGGGGAAAATCCACACTGAAGTTTGGTAGTCCTGTAGCTTAACAATCCTAAATTTGGGTCATTTGATTTTAAAATAATTTTCTTCGCAATTTTAACGGCCGATTCTGCTTGACCGTTGGATTGGGGATACAAGGGGCTACTTGTAACATGCTTAAATCCGAACCTTTGGGAGAAATTCTTAAAAAGTTGGTTGTTAAAACAAGGTCCGTTGTCTGAACGAATCTTTTCTGGTATTCCCCACCTTGCTAAGAAAGTACTAAGCTTTGCAATGACTTCTGAGGCAGTAGACTTGCTACCTCTATGTATCTGGAGAAGTAATCTACTACAACCAGATAATGTTTCTTGTTAGCCTCGAACAAATCCAAAGCTATGATTTGCCAGGGGTATTCGGGCACTTCTGAGGCCATAAGCGGCTCTGTTGGTGTTATTCTGTGTTCGATACACTTCTCGCAACCAGTTACCTTATCATCGATGTGTTTAGCAATACCGGGCCACCAGATTGTTTCCTTGGCTCGTGCACGACATTTTATGATTCCAAGGTGTCCCTCGTGTATTCTGTTCAGCATATCTGGTCGCAATTTTGGCGGTACATATATTCGAGTTCCCAAACAGACAATTTCGTCCAACAGTGACATATCTCCTCGGTATTGGAAGAAAATTCTGTCCTCAAGGGGAAGAAGTTTATTACTTGGCCACTCATTTTCTATGTAGTGTCGTAACCTCAGAGTTTGGGGATCCGAAACCTGTGCTGACCTAATTTTCTGTAGGTTTGTGTCCGATATAGGAATTGAAGTGCAGATGTGCTCATAGAAATCTTCCACAGCATCGATTAGTAATGCGTTTTTTTCAGGGTCAGATGATGCAATTGGTGCCCTAGACAACAAATCGGGAATAATCATTTGTTTTCCCGGAATATATTGTATGGTATATTTGAATTGCAATAATCGCATCCTGAAACGCTGGATCCTAGCGGACAGATCAGATATAGGCTTACTTCCAAGAAGAACAACCAATGGTTTGTGATCGGTTAGCAATATAAATTCTGTACCTATCAAGAACTGACTGAACTTCTCGCATGCCCACGTGGAAGCTAAAGCCTCACGTTCTAATTGAACATAGCGTTTTTCAGTCTCCGACATCGTTCGCGAAGCGTAGTAGACTGTTCTCCACGTGCCATCTGTATGTTGCTGCTCTAATGTAGCGCCTAAGCCATAGGAACTTGCATCAGCCGCTACCCGCGTCGGACGTCCCGGCGCGAAGTGCGCTAGTATCGGAGCGTTTGTCAGAGCCCGTTTGATTTGATCAAATGCGGTTTGTTGGGCGGTTTCCCACACAAACTCATTTTTTGTACTCAAGAGTTGGAGTATTGGTCTTGCCATATCCGCTAACCCGGGTAAAAATTTGGTGTGCACTTGCAAGCACCCGATGAGTTGACGAACTCCACTAACATCCCGAGGAGCGGGCATTTTTAAAATAGCCTTGACCTTTTGAGGATCTATTCCTACACCCTTGTTTGATATTATAAAACCAAGAAAGGTAAGTGACTTAACTCCGAAAATACATTTGTCCTTGTTGAGTTTTATACCTTTCTCCGAACACCGTTGCAATACGAGTTGAAGTCTACGATCATGTTCTTCTCGCGTACTGCCGAATACAAGCGTATCATCGGCTACGTTGATTATACCGTCGAGACCTTCTAGGGCTTCCCACATCTCTCTTTGAAACCTCTCTGGGGCGGACGTGATACCCATGGGTAACTTTTTGAACGCCCAACGACCGAAGGGGCTTATAAAAGTTGTTAGGAGTTGAGATTGTGGATCTAACGAAACATGATAAAATCCTGCAGTGGCGTCTATTTTTGAGAAAAAATTTGCATTGGGACCTATTTGTGCTAATGCTTCACTTATATCAGGTAAAACGAGCTTTTCCGTAAGAACACATTTATTTAGCATGGAATAGTCCACACATATACGAACTTTACCGTCCTTTTTCGGAACGGCCACCATAGGCGCACACCACCGGGTGGGTTGAGAGACCTTAAAGATGATATTCTGTTTTTCTAACGCTTCCAAATTCTCTTTGACCGCGTCGCGTAAATGGATCGCTACTCTTCGCGGGGTAGCGATTGAAAATGGTTTAGAATCCTGTTTCAACTCAATTGTATACTGTTTTCCAAGGTCACCTATTCCTTGGAACAGTTGAGGGAAATTATCTTGAATGGTTATCGAGCTTGCCCATGATAGCATCCCCAATGCTTCTATGGCATCGCGACTTAACAAGTTAGCGTGTAGGTTCTCAACAACATAAACCTCAGTGCTGTGGATTCTGTCTTTATAGAACATATTTACTTCAAATGTACCTTTGACATTAATTTTGTCACCCGAAGCGGACAACAAGGGTCTCTGGGGAGAGTCTAATTGTGTATGTTTAAATTTGGGCAATAACTCCGCTTTTAATACTGTAACATCTGCTCCCGT